AAGAATGCCCTATTTCAGAATTTTATTGAAAAACGTCCTAACCCAGAATTTGGTTGAAGAACGCCCTATATCAGAATTCGGTTCAAAAACTCCCTATCTCACTTCAAAATACATACATACATATATTGAAAATGTGATGAGATAGGGCGTTTATGAGTCGGCGGCAGAGATAGGGCGTTTTTCAAACGAATTCTGGAATAGGGCGTTCTTCACCAAATTCTGAAATAGAGCGTTCTTGAAAAGAGAAGGCCTTTTCGAACTGGCTGCCGAGATAGGTCGATCATCCACTCAGCAGTCGATTTCTTCTTGAAATGAATTTATATTCAGGATTCATTCGGCAAAGAGTCGGCTTGTTAAATCCTGAATATAAATTTGTTTCAAGAACAAATGCTTCTATAAACTCTTATAATAACAAAAGAAAAACATAACCAAAAACGGCCGATGCCGGTTCTTTTGGCCGGACTCTAACTCTGGCACACCAACTCTGCATTAAGCGAAGACCTCTTTGTACTACGTCACAAAAGGTACTCTCGAACTTTTCTTTGGCTATCGAGGAAGGCGCATAGCACAGTCTCTTCACACTCAAGGGCTCCCTCTATCACTCTACTCAGTACGTACAGAGCAGTGTCCGTGGATCTTCCCACCCTATACGCATGTTGGGGGACACTTTCATAGCGTTAGATATAGTTTCACTATCTATGACCTTCTCCATTGTTTTCAGCATGCTGTTACAATGAAAACAACTTCATATACTTTTTTTTTCAAACTAGCGTCGACAGCTAATATTTACTGACGCGTGTTAACTTTGTACATTTTCATAAATTTTGGCAAATTTGCGGCATTGTACACTTTTTGAGGGTAAAGCCTTATTTTCACTATGTCAAATTCAATGACATATGTCGTCAAATAAATGAAAACACATTGTCACATGCGATTAGAAAACGGTATATCGACTAAGTTAGATCAGGATAGGTCTTCAGTCGTATGCAGGCGCTGCTATACCAGCTATATGTTCGCTTTTGGCCCATAATATCATCAGCGAAGGTGCGGATGAAAGAGATAAACTTGTGTCAAAATATGTCGACAAATTTTGATGTCAAAATATGACATAGTGAAAACCAGCCTTAAGTTTCTTCAATGTCACACTCCTTTTGATATTTCATTAACTCTGGCAAAATCCGATTTTTGTGGCCTCAGTTGCTATTTGGGCGTTCACTTGATAAAACCGAATATTAAAGTAAAGTAGAACGACGAACTGATAACCTCGTCCTTTTTTGGAAGTCGGATAATAACTAGCTGTTTTCGACGAGTTATTTTTACGAGAAGCTGTTTTTCATGGCAGAAATACACTCGGAGGTTTGCCATTGCCTGCCGAGGGACGACCGCTGTTAAGAAAAAACCTTTTTTTCTATATTTTTGCGATGTTGCTTTGACCAGGGTTTGAACCCAGGCATTGTGGAGTGGAAGCGCGCACTGCTTACCACAACACCACAGCGGCCGAGAAGCTTGGCCAAACACTAACATATGTGTAAGCGCCAATCTATTATTATTATTATTTCGATGAGTTATAAAGCACTTGTCTCTTCATACCTTTTTCAGCAGCTTTAGTAACAGCGTGCAGCTTAAATTTTGGCTAAAGAAAGCCATAGAGGTGACAATTTCCACTACGTTTGCCGCCCTTCACCCATTCTTCGAAAAATTTTAAACTTCTAATATAGTAAATATACTCTGAAATAAAAAAGTACATATTTTTACTCTATTGCTTTGGAAAAAAGCATAATTTTAAATCTAGCCTGGTGATACTTTCGGTCCACCAAATGCGAAAAGAATAATAAAAATTAAATACATATAAATTTTTAAAATTTTCGAAATCAATTTTAACAGTTTTAGAAATTATCCACAGTTTAGTTTAATTGAGTAGATGTAATTAAGGCCACTAGAAATATGATCCATTATTAAAATTTAGCACAAAATCACACACTTCCATAATGAAAGATTTTTCAAAAATTATAGAAAATCAACTAAACTATTTTTTAGTTTCAGTAAGATTATAAATTAATTTTTGAACACTGCCACACCCCACAGTAGCTTGGCGAATATCCTTATTGATAGTATTATAGCCTTTTCTAGAAATCCTTGAATGAATTTTGTTCCCCTTGCTTATTCCACACGACACACTCTGCATCGGTATATTATATGTAAACATATGTATTATATTTATTATAATAAATTTTCTAAACATTTTTTATGTGTTTTATATAGTCAAACTTTTTTCAGTCTTCCTTCATTGTTATAAGGAATTATTGATACAAATTGTAAGGAATTTTATGGGGAAACATTTTTAAAAGCGTTGGAAAAGTGGAATTTTATTTTATTCCAAAAAAGTACGTACCATCACTGTTGGCAAATCGATGGCGGTTGTTTTCACAAAAGAATACAACCACAAAATAAAATTTTGCTGCTGACACAACCAATATACTTACACACTTATACACACACTCGAATTGGGGAAACCCATAGTGTAATAAACACTACGCGGAAAACGAATGCGCTATTATTATTTATTAAATTACCACAAATAAATTTTAAAAACTTCGCAAAAACTCTTAATAAAGCATTATTCCCGCCGGCGCACAAATTTACTACATAAATCATTCACAATAACTATCTCAGCTAAGGAAAAGGAAGTAGATTTGGAAAAAAGGAACCAGCAAATACACTCCAGACACAGGGTCGTTCAGATGACTGGATTTTATTATATAAAAATAATTAAAAAATAAAAAATTAAAACAAACGCCCATATTAATTTATTTAATAATTGTAGCAAACAGTACTTTTCTTCAGTCAAAGTTATTTATATTTTCCAGTTAAGCGCAACCGTAAAAACTGGTTTAATAAAACCAAATTGTCTACTGTGAACAAATTGAAAATGCAGGGTGATTTCGCGATAGAGCGACACTTTCTTATATATTTGGTATGAGCTAACAGCTGTCAACTAAAATAATGATTCATATTAGTTAAAATTCCACAAACGAATCACTACTGCGAAATTAAACAATTTGTGCAAAATAAAATTGAAATTTTCATCCCAGCAAACAGCGAACCATACTTTATCTTGTGCAGCCTTATCTCTACTCTTCATTTTGTATATAAGCCACCAAACTGGGTAACGAAATGTCCACTTCGTCTATGGAAAGTAAGTGAAAAATTTCAACTTCTGCATAACTATAATAAATTCAATCCAATTTACAATTGTCAATCGTTTTAGAACATCTTTTCAATCTAAAATTTGCTGTAAAAGAGCTGGAGCGCAACTCAAAGAAATGCGAAAAAGAGGAGAAGCTTGAAAAGGCAAAAGCCAAGAAGGCCATACAGAAGGGTAACATGGATGTGGCGCGTATTCATGCAGAAAATGCAATAAGACAGAAAAATCAAGCTGTTAACTATTTACGTATGAGCGCACGTGTAGACGCAGTTGCAAGTCGGGTACAATCCGCGTTGACTACACGAAAAGTTACCAGCTCAATGGCTGGCGTGGTCAAAGCAATGGATGCTGCCATGAAAGGTATGAACTTAGAAAAAATCTCTTCGCTCATGGAGAAGTTCGAACAACAATTTGAAGATTTAGATGTACAGAGTTCGGTAATGGAGAATACCATGTCTGATACGACTACAACGTCGGTGCCACAAGGCGATGTCGACAACTTATTACAACAAGTGGCCGATGAAGCTGGGTGGGTGGATGTGAAATTGAAAATTGGATATTTTATATTTTTATATTTTTTTATACTACTTGCGCAGCTTGGAGCTCAATATGGAATTACCTAGTGGTGTACAGAGTTCAACTATTGGTGCATCTACACAAGTTTCACAAGAGCAAGACGAACTAACTCAGCGACTGGCACGATTGAGGCAAGCCGAATAGATTTGGTGCATTTATGATTTAAGATTTTCAATCTGGTATTAGTGGGGTTAACGAAAAACAGTTTTTATATATCATTTATGTTGCGCGCTTTATTTTCATATGCTCCATGTTGGGCGAATGTGTTGTACATGAAATCTGCTTCATAAGTTTAAAAATCAATAGAAATTACACAGATATTTAGGATAATTCACGCCTTGTTCAATTAAAAGTTTAACATTGCATCTCAAATATCTTGTTTGAAATGTACGAATTGTTGTTGCATTAGCAACTGCTGCTGCTGCTGTTCGGTGAAGTGCTGTTGTTGTGGCAGTTGTTGCATTGTTCCTTCAACGGAACCTGGCTGCAGCGGTAGTAGGTTCTTTTTCATGCGCTGCTTCCGTACCTTTTTAACTTTGCCATCTGTTGACTCTTCTGTGGGAATCTTGGGTTTGGGCTTGGGACCGCGCTTTTGTTCGATTTTTCGTTTTGGATGTGGTGCCACCATTGGCAATTGCCGCCATACGTCATTGTGCTTGTCAAGGCGCCGTTTCAAAAGCTCTACATCGCGGGTGCGTCGTCGAAGAAGCTTCTTAACCGTATTTATGCTAAAGGGAGGATGCAAATTAAAAAATCTTTTGATAAAAAATGTACATAGAATATTTTAAATAACTACCGGAGCACACAGCGCTCATTTTCAGTTTGTAATTCCTGGCAGCGGTGATAAACTTTTTCAGCGAGTAATTTGTACTTTTGGGCCTTTTCGTCGAGTAACATGTTTGAATTTAATACAATTAGTAATTAAAGTAGCATTTCTTGGTTAAAAAACAATTGTCCCGATTTCCTTTAATTTGTACGCTTCCAGCTCAAGATGTAAACAAACAAACAGTCAGGTGTGCTCGACTGTCATTTAAATTGATCATTCACAGTCGATTTTGGTAAATTTTTATAAGGCCTCTTTTTTTATTTTTTAATGTATATGAATTCATTTTATAAATAAAAATCAGCCTTGGAAAATTTGGCGTAAGTCTAGAATACCAACGGTTTAGTAATAGGTAATACAACATTAATTTTTTTCAATTTACGCCAGCGAAACCCGTACAGTAATTTTTTGGCATCCGCCAACCCCTCATAAAGTCCCATAAATCAACGCACACAGGTGATTTTGCTGCTGCCCATTGTTTTAATTGTGAAAAAGTAAAAAAGCCGACATTTGTCAACAAAAAAATAAAGGACTCGGCGCATTGCTGCATAGCGTAAGGCGTTATGGCTTCTTCGTCCAATCCAAGTCTGAGTGGATCCAACATAGGAGCCAATAACGACAAAAACACAAATATTTCCGGATCGGGAAAATCCTCAGCCAGCAACAATAAAATGACTGTGGCATCTATTCAGAAGGCCTTCCATGACATTATTATAGATCCTACAAGTTTAGATGAGGCTGCACTATATTTATATCAATCACTGCTTGACGATGCTGTGGTGGGTGTGTTCCTGGAAGTACATCATTTACATAAGACTGGTAATCTAGAAGCACTCGATGGTGTTCCCGAAGAAGGTACGGATGCATCCTATCGCATCGTCGATATGCCAAACTATGACATTTTCGGCATTTCATCAGTTAAGAAACTAATGGATTGCACTTGTCCCAACTGTGATAGGCCAGTGTCAGCGTCCCGCTTTGCGCCACACTTGGAGAAATGCATGGGCATGGGACGTAATTCGTCACGTATTGCCAGTCGGCGTTTAGCTACTAAGGAGGGTACAAGCGCCAGTTCCTCATCATCGTCATCGTATCTGCAGACTACTGTTGGAACGGATGACGAGGACGATATTGACTGGTCATCGGAGAAACGCCGAAAGAAGACTAATCAGAGTAACCGAAACAATGGTTCTAAGAAAAATAATGGCAAATCATTCTAGACGTTGGGGATAAACTGTAAGAGTATACAATTTACCATTTCATCTCGCATTCATTCTAAGTGCAGTAGAAATTTTGATTTACATTAGTATATGCACTGAATATTGATTCCCTGGTGGTTATGAGCGCATGTACGTTCTATGTAACCATGTATAAATGCAACCTGAAGTAAAACCTGCGCTAAAAGATTCCATTTATAGTGTAAAATACATGTTTTTTTT